AGTCCTTAGCGCCAAGGGCTACGCGCAATCCAAATGCCCTCGCCTGTTGTCGGCTGGTTGTCGCCCCCTCTTCTCGACATGTCCACGATACAGTCGCCGCTCCCCTATGGTCAGCCAGAAGCCGTTCAAACCGGCTCGTCCAGAAAGTGTTGCGCAATACCGCCTGTTATGGCCCACGCAAGGGAAGCCGATGTGCCGGGCGCTGGTCATCGCATTCGGTGCGGGTGAGATGCGGTGGAGCTCGCCAAGCTTTAAATACGTGGATGAGGGAACTTGAACGTTTTCCCTAAACCGAGAGCTTGAAAGCAAGCACAGATGGGAAATCGAAAAAGATTGGGTTGGGGTGGTGGGCGAGGGTGCGGCGTGCGGCGTGGTGAGGAGGGTGAGATGCCGTGTGCCAAAACGACGCAGCTGTCGGGGTCCGAGGGATACGTACCTCCGAATAGGTAGGTAGGTACTCCGTACGGTACGGAGTACTGTGGCACTGCGTGCCTCGAGTCGACACCAATAGAAGTCACCACAGTACGCAGTACCAACCCAGCCTCGATCCGCCAAGACTCATTTCTAGTAATGGCAGGTACCTCTCGACCCCCTCCCCTTCCCCTTCCCCTTCCCAAGATCATCCCGTCCCTGACCGGCCATCCACAGATTCCTCCCCAGTGTGGCAGTTCATTTTCTCCCTTTACACTCAACCACCACTCAATTCCCTACGGTTTCGTTGTATTTTGCCTTTCGACTATCTAATTTGCCTTCTCGTTGTCGGGTTCCCATCACGGCACTTAGCAATTTGTGTAATACACTGCATCGCAAACGCACCGACACAGCCATCTTTTTCTTAAGTTGGTCGATCCAGCCAGATGTCGCCCCGTCGATTACCTTAAAACATGCACTCAACGTGCCAACGTGCCCGAGGCTTGACGCCCGTCCATACATAGTAGTGTCATATTCACGAGTATTCAGGTGAGCGGGTCGCTCAACTCTTGGCAGTTCGACCCACGATGGCGGTACGCCAATTGGTGTCAGACTGCTCCCCTAATCCCCTTGGTGAACGGTCTCGTCGACCGGTCGACTTGACCTTCTCCCTCTTGGCTACGGCGCCAAGCTTGGTCGAAAAAAGAAGACATGAGCCCAAGAACGACGAGCCGTCTCACAAACCATGCCATCGCATCATGGCCGACCCCGCCTGTCCACGGGATCCCTCACTGGCACGGTGTGTTCGCTGCAGACCATTCCCAAGAACTCGAGTATCAGCCAAACCTGATAATTTGCCGCTTCAAAGCCCAGCCAGACGAAAGCTGGGCGTTCTTGGCTGCAGATACCAAGCACCTTCAGCCTGTATCCTCCATCCTGTCCACCTTGCGCCCGCCGCTTCGCCGTTCAATGAGGCTGTGCAAGCAATGCCAAGACCTGCGAGGATGGGTGGTTTCGCCCTGGCTTCAACTCTCGCCAGTCCAGGGGGGGGGGGGGGGGGGCCCCCCCCCCCCCCGCCCCCCCCCCCCCGCCCCCCCCCCCCGCGCCGCCGCCGGGCGCCGCGGGCACCTCGACCGGGCGGGCCGGGGCGGGGGGGGTGGTCGCGCGGGGCGGGGGGGCGGGGGGGGGGGGGGGGGGGGGGGGGGGGGACCACATCGCCAGCGCTCTACACTCAATCAGAGGAGAAGCAATCAAAACGAGGCCTTTAACAAGTCTTGGCATTGCTCCTTTCACACTCACTGGCCGCCACATGCATTCTATTTGCGCGATTTGTGAGTTTGTTTAGCCCGTCTCGACGATGCTTGAGTCTTACCACATCCTCCTCCATCAACAGATTGACTTTCACTCCCTCTACCCGAATCGGTGATTGCTCGTCCCACACTCTCACTAACATGGCTCGAAGAATTAAGGTTCTGGAAGGAATACCCGCACACTTTGTGCAGTCCTGCATGGTCATCATCCATTGGCTGTGCCGCCAGAAGGGTCGCCGATGTGCCACGAGCCCGATGAGCCTGCCAATGCCACGGGAATTTACCAAGCTTTCCGGCGAAATCTTGGATGCACGACACCCGAGCGAGAAAACGACCGCACCATCAGCAACATGACTGCCCGCACGCCCCAGATGCAGCTACAGACCACAATGACTCTTTCGAGTTTTGAGCCATCATCCACGCTGGAACTCTCCACGTTTGGTCGCAGTTATTCCAGACTCAATCAGACCACCGTGTTCGCCTCCCCAGACGATCGCGACAACCCCGGCAGTTCAAGGACGAGTGGTCCCCCGAAAAGCCCCAGATGCGGAGGGTCGAATGGGGTGCTTGTGTTCGGACGCCAGGCCGAGATTAGGAAGGACTCTGCAAGTGGTGTCCTGGCTCGGCGGGATCAGGCCAAGATGCCAGTAGGACTTCTTGCATAGTGGGCTTTGCTCCATTCCCATCTTGCCCATGCACTCTTGGCCTCCTCTTACGAGCTCCAGACTTTGAAGGACCTTCTTGGCTTCTGACCATGGGCCGCAAAGCGCGTGGGCATGGTATCGCGTTGTGCAACAATTCTTTGGAACTTCTCGGCGTCTTGGCTTTAGCTTGAGCGCTTTCTGTCTGGCCTTGGATTACATCAAGCCTCAGCACCGACTGGCTTACAGGTGGAGTGGCCAAGGCCCACAGCCATCTTCCAATTTCACATCCGTACTCCCTTCTACCTGCCGTAATCGATGCTGATGGGCAATGCAGGAGAGAAAGAGCGCAGAAAGGGAACGCCAGGTCACATATCAACCCCCGTTATTCAGAGGCTCTGAGATCACAGCGCAACCCTACGGAAACAATCTTGAAATTCGGGCGATATTTTAGAGTATCCGAAGCCTCTCAAATCCAAGACGGCAACGCCTTGGTTTGGCCTTGGCTCCATCTTGGCCGGGCAATTTTGACAATGATCAAGAGTAAGTCTTGAGTTTCGGGGGACTGAAACGTCTGCCGGTCTCCGGTACCCGGGTGGACAACAGACGAACGTCGACGAGTGGGCCGTGTTGTCAACTGGCGATTAGCCGTGCTATCAATTGGGAGAGCAGCGACCTATCTTTTCTTGGCGTTTGCATGCCAAACGACGATCTCTATTGCGACCAATTGTCTCCTGTTTGCCAAGCATCCTCACCAGCGTTCTATCAAGCGACTTACGAGTAGTCGCTCGTCAATGCTGTAGGCAAAGCAGCTACCTAGATTCGGGCCAGATGCCCGTGATCAACCAGAAGCGGAGTCTTGGTGAGCAGATGCGACCTAGCTCCGACAACAGCTGCCGCTGTTCGACGGCGATGGTGAGAATTTCCGACGAGACGTCGGTCCTGGCACACGACGTTTCCTCCGGACTGCTCCAATGCTGTAGTTTTCGGTTCAAGAAGCCTGCTACTGTCGTACTGGACCAGAATATCCATCTTGCCTGTGGCCAGAGGCAATCCCCACTTGCAGAAAATAGCTGCAACCCAACCCCTGGCCCCCTTTCTCCTTATCGTCGTTTTGTTTGTTTCCATTGCTGTTTCCAGCTATTTCTGTTTCCCGCTGTTCATTTATCAAATCGATCTATTCGACCCTCCGAAATGACCCGACCGTTCACACCCCATGAGACGCCAAGAATCAGAACTTGCCCCAATGCTTGACCAACATGAACAAAGTCACCGACTGAAGGTGTCTCCGCCTCAATATGCGGACCAAATTTCCCTCATTTAGCAAAGTCGAAGTAAAGAGGTCCGGTGCATCGTTAGCCTGGACATGGCAGCCAAGTGGGCGGCAAAATGGGATGCTAGCTTACAAGATTCTAACACTTACTTGCCTGTTTACTATGCCTGATCTTCTTATCATTTTTGTTGTTACTATTATAAGTTTTGTTTCTCGTGAATTCCTATGAGAATACCCTTAAATGAAAGAATAGAGAGATATGGATATTAGGAATAGAAATAACAGGAAAGGAGTTAGGGAGGGTACCGATTGAGCGGCAACCGATTTTGTCACCTACTTGGCAGCGTAATGCAGGCCACTGTCGCCTTCGCCCTCAGCTTGCGGCATGATGCAGTTCTAGGTCACGGCTCCTTCTCAATGAGGCCTCCTATCCCTTTCTTCCGCGACACAAGCAGTGTCCAGTGTGTCACGTCTTCAGAAGAAGAAATCTAGTGATTTGCTCCTGAGTGGGGTAGACAACTAAAGGATAGATCTGGACTATCGAGTGGCAAATTCCCGCTGCATGGGCTCGATGCAAAAGTAAGGAGGGAGCTCCAGTTCCTGGTTCAGAAAGAGTCGATGGAATGCTTGAGCGTCCGTCGCTGTGGCTTTCGTGGTCTTGCAGGCTTCGAAGGCGGTGGCATTTACGCACCGGTCTCATTTGCGTCTAACATCCTCTCTCGCTAGTATTGCTATTGCTATGTCTATTCTTGCCAGCTCATGTGGAGGCCGTCGGAGTATCTTCGTTCCTGCTATGCAATCGTGTGCGGAATCTTCTTTGAAGTGGTCATTGATCCCTAGTTGTTCCCTTACTTCGGACCAATTCTCCCTGCCCCTGCTCTCTGGGGGAGGCCGGTCTCCTCGTAGACGCCCTTGACCACAATAAGGCGATGGTGCCTTCCTCTGTGCATCATGGCCACTCATTCGTGTTGTATGGTAGACATCGGACACAAGCCAGAGAACCAACGGGATCTTTTGCAGATTTGGGCACGCCACACTCTACGAGCTGCTATACTTGACTACTGAGATGCCTGAAGAAGCCACGCTGAGCACGACAATCATCTCGCGGGACGCTTCAAACACGTCTGCTAATGCTGGATGCGAGCCATCTTACAGTACAGTCCTTCTCTACGCCGTGCCCATGGTCCAACACTTGCGAGACGGCCTACGCATAGTCATTGACCTCTTGTCATGCTGTCTCGTCACCGTATGTGGTATCGGTTATTGCCCAACAACAAAGGCGAACAACCCTCGAACACTCTTGGCTTTGTAATCTTGCTAACCCCCTGACAATGGCCGCGCCTCAAAGGTGCAATCTACAGATCTTCACTCCATGACCAGCACGCTCCTAAAGCGCACCTTATTCGACATCATATGCTCCACCGCTTCAGGCGCCTCGCTCAATGGGAACTTCTCAATCAGGCACTTGACGCCCTGCTTCCTCGAGAACTCGATCGCGTCCTCCGAATGTCGCGCGTGCCCACTAGGCCATCCATGAACCGAACAGCCGCCCGCGATCAAATGCAACGAGCTGATTTCGATGTTCTCAACCGCCGTGAGCACCATCAACTTGTCGCGCACCCGCAGCGCGCCCGTAAGGGGGCTGATAGCCGTTGCACTCGGCGCCGTCGCGACCACGAGCGCGGCGCCGCCCAGGGCCTTGAGCCTCGCCACGGGGTCCTCGACGCTGCTGTCGATGGGGCACTCGGCGCCCAGCTCAGACGCGAAATCCGCTTTCGCGGCGCCGGAGCTGATGGCCGCGACGCGGTAGCCCATCTTGGTGGCGTACTGCACGGCGAGGCCTTGGACGGCGACGAGGCTTCCTCGGGGAATCTCCATCTTGCGGATGCCGTTGAAGACGGTGACGCCGGCGCAGAGGAGGGGCGCCGTCTCGGCGGGGTCGAGGTCTGCTGGGACGCGGACGACGGCTTGGGAGCGGAGGGTGACGTATCCTGCGTAGCCTCCGTCGCGGGTGACGCCGTTGATTGGGCCGTTTTGGCAGGATCGGAATTGGCCTAGCTGGCATGTTGCGCAGGTTCCGTCGTGGCCTTGTATGGACGTCAGTTGAGTGTGCTTCAACATGATCTCCCTCCCCAAAGACCCCTCTCATCTCCGGCTTGATTATAATCCAAAGGTTTCCAGAGAGTACAGACTCACCTCCATGCCAAGCTCCTCCAACGCGCTCGCCGCCCCTAAACCTCGACACGAGAGATGCAGGAGTGAAACCTGTCATGTATCGAGGTTAGAAGATGGAAGCCCTGGGGAATGTGAGGGAAGTCTCGTGAGGTTCTTGAACTGAGGTACTCCGTGAAACATTCGAAGAAACGAAGATTCGATTACGCTCTAGTGGTTACACTCTCCTGCTGATTACGGCTCATTTCAGTAATAAAATTAACAACCAAAACCAAAAACGCGTCAAAAATGAAATCAAGATGCCGCTCTAGATCACGTAACATCACCTCCCAGTCTCATTCACTCATACACCACCCGCCCCTGAGACCCAAAATCTAGGCCTTTTTAACCTTTTCCTGGCCTCTTTGGAAAATCTTCTTCTTAATCACCGCATCGTCCAACCCCGCCCCCGCATTCATGGTCCCATCAAACACCGTCCTTGGCCCAAACGCATTTAAGAACCAAACAAGCCACGCGTTCGTACCCTTCCACACATACGGGCTCCCGCCGCTCTTGAGCACAAGCGGCACGACCTGCCTCGCAAACTCATCAGGCTTCATCGTCGTCTTCTCGTGCGTGGCGCTGCGCTCCCGCACCTTATCCTCGGCGTCGACGTACAGGCTGTCCCTGTCGAAGCTGATATTGTTGGCCTGGATGATGGAGGTGGCCACCTCGCCCATGTAGACCGTCAGCACGCGCAGGCCGAGGGGCGCGACCTCGAGACGGAGGGTGTCAGAGTAGGCCGCGACGGCGGCCTTTGTGGCGTTGTAGCCTGACGTGAAGGGCCCCGGGAGGCGGGCGAGCACGGAGGCGACGTTGACGATTGTGGGTTGCTGGGAGGATCGGGAGGTGGAGACGGCGGCGAGGAGGAGCGGGGTGAAGGCTGTCACCATGTCGAAGAGGCCGAAGACGTTGGCGTCGAACATTTGGCGGGTGCGGTAGGAGTCTGCTTCTACTGCTGGCGCTTCGTAGACTTGATGCCGAAAAATACCATGTTAGCTGTTCCGTGCTTCACAGGTTCTATTATTGGGGAGGAGTGTCAGATGGGGAAGAAGGACTCACGAGCACCCGCATTGTTGTACAGAATGTCAAGGGTACCTCCTGTACGTCTTGAAATCTCCTCTTTTACGGTAGCGATACTCTCCGAGCTCGTCACGTCGAGCGTGAGCGTTTCGATGCCCTTTTCTGTGAGGTTCGCCACGGACTTAAGCGAACGGGCGGTTGCGAAGACGCGTAGGCCTTGGGCTGCGAATGCGAGTGCCAGCGTGTTACCGACACCCCCTTGGGAGCATCTATCAGAGACATGTCAGCGTTCCAAGCGTGGGGAATGCAAAGTAGAGGAGCATAGAAGGTATCTCGGAGGCAACCACACTTACCCTGTGATGAGGACTGTTCGCTTGGTAGGCGATGACATGATTGCAGGGTGGAACTGAAAATTGGCTATGAATGGTGAGAACTTGGAAGATTGAATAAGCTGGATGAGTTGAATAGGTTGTCCAACCATGCAATCTCGAGGTGGAAATCGCGTACGACTTAAGTAACTAGACGATAGATGCAATTTGGAATACAATGGCCCCCAATTAGTACCAATATATCTTAGCCATCAAAATCGAGAGAAACAGTCAAAACTTTAGCCATGATGACAGATCTCAAGTTGTGTGCGTCGAAGTCGAAGACTATTGGTAAGCTCGTAGAGAAAGGCACTTTAGAAGATTAGAGCGAGTGGCGTGTGCTTTCGGAGCCTTCAGATACTCCATTCTCCGCCGTCTTGAAAGGCGACCGGGCAAGCCATCGCCCTCTCTACGTCTTTATCCGGAAGAAGGGGCCGGACAGGGCCTCGGGATGACAAAGACTGGCTTCCAGCACGTAGAAGTTTTGGTCCCATTTTATCGCCTTGTCTACTATACCGCTCGCGTGTGGTGAGTAAACCATAATCATCCCGGGGGCTGTTTAATAATCGCCTCCGAGAAAGTGGGGACTCTCCGGCGCCGATTTGAATGCATCCGTAGCCCGTCAAATGTGGGGCTTTAGTCCCATCCGCAAATCGTTGGCTGATCGTCCGTTTGCTGTCCACTCCGCAACAGCAGCAAGGCGAACAGGCCACTTGCGGTTCGTGATTGCGCATCATGGCGAACGGAACGTGCTTAATAATGTTCAGTTTTGGGTTTCAGCATGAGAGAAAGCATACGGAGAGATGAGCATAAAATGACAATTGAGGAACGATGTCTACGTAAAGATTCCGATATCCTTCTTCATTACTACCAAATTGCAATCAATCTTTCAAGCAAATACACGGAGCCATTACATGTACACAAAAATGTCTTCCAACCACGCCATCGTCATCCAGGGGGCAGGCAAGGCCTCAGTCGTCGAAGCTTCCATCCCCAAGCTCCGCGACGACTACCTCATCGTCAAAGTCAAGGCCGTCGCCCTGAACCCCACCGACATCCTCCACATCGACCTCTTTGCCGTCACAGGAGCCCGCGTGGGCTGCGACTACGCCGGCATCGTCGAAGAGGTCGGCTCCAAGGTCGCAAAGTCCTTCAAGAAGGGCGACCGCATCGCCGGCGTCGCGCACGGGTCCAATGCCGTCCACCACGAGGACGGCACCTTTGCCGAGTACATCACCGTCAAGGGCGACCTGCAGCTCCGCATCCCGGACAACGTCACGTTCGAGGAGGCCGCCACCCTCGGCGTTAGCGTGACGACCGTGGGCCAGGGCCTGTACCAGAGTCTCGGCCTGCCGTACTTTGACCAGCCCAGCACCGAGAAGCTGCCCGTTCTCATCTACGGCGGGAGCACGGCGACCGGTGCGCTGGCGATCCAGTACGCCAAGCTGTCTGGTCTGTACGTCATCACGACGGCCTCGCCTCATAATTTTGCTTACCTGAAGAAGCTGGGCGCCGATGAAATCTTGGATTACAAGTCGGCCACCGTCGTGGAGGACATCAAGAAGAGCGCGGGCGGCAAGCTGAAGCACGTGCTGGACTGCATTTCCTCGGAATCGTCTGCGGACATCAGCGTCAAGGCGATCGCGGAGGACGGCGGCGTCTACTCCACCCTGCGGCCCGTGCCGGCGGAGCTCGTCTCGGCGATCAACAGCAAGGTGACGCCCAAGATGACGCTGGCGTATACTGCCATCGGTGAGCCGTGCCAGTTTGGCCCGCAGGCCTTGCCGGCGATCCAGGCGGATTTGGAGTTTGGGAGCAAGTTCTGGGCTGATACCGAGCGGCTGTTGGGGGAGGGCAAGATTGTGGCTCACAAGCCTACTGTGAATGAGGGTGGAAGCGGCCTCGAAGGCGTTCTGAAGGGTCTTGACCTTGTTAGACAAGGCAAGGTGAGCGGAACCAAGTTGGTTTATATTGTGTCGTAATAGGTCAGAGGTCAGGAAAAGAAATTCGGACTTGCACCAATTATGAGTAACAATCAAAATGCTTGAATGCGAATGCTTCACAAGCGAAACCACGATGTGTCCTGGCAGGTTCGCGAATTTGCACAATCCTACGGGGCTAGAATTTTGTCATGATTTCCATGCCTTCGATTTTATCTGTTTTCTCTGAGAATCTCACCAATCCGAACTGCAATTAGTGATCATTGGAGGGATGGCACTTGGAAACTTTGCTTGGGTGATGGGGTCAGAGACCAGGACACCGGAGCCGAATGCTACAGGGATATGATCTCCCGAACCCGAGCGCCACTTGCCCGATTTGTCCGCTGGCGAGAGCCCATTGGCAGTCAAGGTAACAGAACTGCAGATGTTTTGCAGGTCAGCGGCGGGAGGAAAATGATGTGGCGCATGCAGGTCGTCACGGAGTTGAAGTGTTCAGACTGCTTGACAACTCTTTAGATAGCGACACGTCGTATGTTCGCGGGTCTGAACTTCTTGCATAAGTCTGCATCGAAGAAAGTCACAGTGTTGATTTAAACAAGCAGACACTAGTGCTCCTGTATCCCAAGGATTGTCGCACTTTGCAGGAGAGTTTCTCGTAAAGGAAAACAGATAATCTGGTACAGTCTAAGGAAAATTTGATGTACATCGAATCGAGTGTTGCCCTGCATCGGCTATACTTCCTCTAGAGACACCATTCCGCACCCCCATTCTTATACCGCCTGACTATCCACTTGGTAGAGCCAAACATCGATAGACTTACTTGCAGTCTGGTCAAATGCCTAAGACCGAGTAAAGAACCTCGGCTCCTACCTGCTAGTATGGGATGCAAGGAGGCCTCTGCGTTTACTGACATGTCGGTTGCCGATTTTTGACCGATCTCTGCCGAAGTTATGCATAGCGAGTCTGAGGAAAATTGAGCATCCCCTTAAGGAATCGATTGATTGATAAGACAACCTAACATGACTTTAACGTCATGCAACTAGCTCGATAGCCTACAGGATAGCCTATGGGAGGAGGAGGAGAACGGGATCATCCACCCCAGTACGGCAACGTTCGCATCTCCCCCGCAGCCACGCACCCACGTTTTACTAAAACTTTTTCTTCATCGGAGGCTTAGGGAAGAACGCACATGGAAGAGAAAGGGTTAGAAAATCCTTCACCACCATTGGATACCGCCCTCCGGAAGAGAAGAACCTTCCTCATGCGGTGTTCAATGGCAATCGACTCTGTTAGATAGGTCCGATCAGTCTTGCATTACGGAGTAGAGAAGTTAAGTTACGGGAGCTATCCGAGAGTAGCCCTTCGGTGGGGCTGGTCCGATCGAATGGCAACCCGCTCAGGAACCCAGGATGTCACCCCCAACGGGGGATAACTTTTGGAGTTTCTCCAAACAAGCTCTTTTACACCCGCGATGTTCCACTCCGCCAAGACTCTGAACCGCTGCTCATGGCGGAAAGCGGCAATTGAGCGGGAAGGAATACGTCGCAATCGTCATGGAAGCCAATAAGATTTCTCTCCTGAGAAAAGACTCAGACTTCTCGATATCCCAGAGAAGAGTACCTTGCAGTGCCGATGTCCAGGACCCTGGTTTATTGCTGTGAAAGCTCTTCCCCTTCCTGGGTCCTTCTCGGACTTCTACCATGTGCGAGAGTGCTGGCGATGGCAAAGTCGAGCCATCTTCGAGAAAGACAAATACCAGACGAAAGAATGTAGATGACCTCGGGTCTCTCTTCTCTCTCTCTCTCTCTCTCTCCTACCACCACCTCTCTCTCGTTCATTCCAAAGCGGTGTGCCTCGCCACCCATGCCCCTCAAGATGCGGTCGTCACTCCTTTCATCCCTCGTCTACCTCTGCCTGGCCACCTCGTCGGCCTCGGCCCGCCACGTCCACCAGCTCCGCGCCGACTTCAACCTCGCCTCCCTCCCGCAGGCCCACTCGGCCCGCGGCCTCCCCGCCGCAGACGGCAAGAAGGGCGTCCTCCTCATGAACCGCATCGGGCCCTCGACCTCGGACCTCTACATCGCCAACGCAGACGGCACAAACGAGCAGAAGCTCCTCGGCAACGCCTCGAACTTCGAGTACCACGCCGCCTTCTCTCCGGACGGCAAATACGTCACCTTCACCACCGAACGCAACGGCGACGGCAACTCGGACCTCTACCGGTGCAGCTTCTCCTCTGCCGGCACCGGTAACTCGACATCTGCCTCGTGTTCCAACCTGGAAGAGCTCATCGCCACACCCGCTGTCGAAGACGCGGGCGCCCTCTCGCCAGATGGAACAAAACTCGCCTACGTCTCCACCGAGAACGGCTACCGCGCCAACATCTGGGTCCTCGACATCGCCACCGGCGTCCGCCGCAACCTCACAAACACCCCCGAGATCGCCGGCGACCCTCTGCTGCCCGACGGCCACTTCAGACCCAGCTGGTCCCCGGATGGCGAGTGGATCGCCTTCGCCTCGGACCGCAACACGGCCTGGAGGGGCCACGGCAACGGTACCGGCTGGGAACACACTCAAGAGCTCTCCGTCTACGTTGTCCGGCCGGACGGCTCCGGGTTCCGCCAGGTCGCCACAAAGACGGGATACTGTCTCGGCTCGCCGAAATGGAGCCCCGACGGGAAACGCATCCTCTACTATGAGATCACCACCGAGCAGACGTGGGACGCGCACCGGCCCGAGTCCCTCGCCGCCGCCATCTCTCAGATCGTCTCGGTCGATTTCGAGACGGGAGAAGACCGCATCGAGCATACCTCTGGCGCCAGCGTCAAGATGTTCCCGCAGTGGCTGGCTGATGACGACAGCACCTCGGATGAATCCAGCAGCGACAACATCGCCTATCTGATCAAGGGCGGCGATAACGAAGGGTACAACTACACCTCCGGCGCCCACGCACCCGTCAAAGCAGCGATCCGCTCGCCAGCCTGGTCCCCAGACGGCCGCTTCGTCATCTACGAGAAAGTAGGCTTCACCGCCCGCGCCATGGAGAAGCCCCTCTACAGCTGGGACGCGGACTGGGAATACCG